TGGGCAGGCGGGCGAGCGAGCCGCAGATGCCGGCCAGGAGGCTGGGGAGAGCTCCCCCGAACTGCTGCTGCTCAGGCTGAAGGGCTGCCCGGCTGGCCTGCGCTAACAGGGACGAGGAATCGCCAAGTCGTGGGCAGCCGGGGCTGGAAGAGGCTGACTGGACAAAACTGCTGCTAGATACCGATTAGCTCAAGGGACAGACTAAGCTCTCTGGGTTCGGTGGGGTTTTGTCCGGTTACAACTATGAATTGGGTGATGTCTGGGGAATGTATAATACTTTTGCCACGTATGTTTTCTCATCCCATCAGGAAACTGCAAACCTTCTCTGTGCTAGGAAACTCCTCCTCCTCCAAAGAAGGAGGAGGAGGAAATCTGTGTGAAAAGTCTGAAAAGTAAATGGCCATGTGTTTTAATTTTAATGTAATATTATACCTGCCCATTTGTCCGTATATATCAATCTTAGATATTCTAAGGCTCCATAGGAGTGAGCATCAATGCATACTGACCTCTGCGCGATCTGCCTCCTCTTCAGCTGGCCCAGGCAGTAGGGGAGTTCTGTGATTTGGCATCGTTCAAGTGAAAACGGGACTTCTTCCTGCGCCGAGGCACCGGCGCATTTAAAGGAAGAGAGCAGCCCTTTTTCTGGACAGGCAGCGCTGGGGATTAGCGACATCGGATTTCTTCCTAGAAGGTCTCTTCTTACAGTGATTTTTCGTGACTCTGTTTTGCATGATCGGCTCAAATGTGTGTATGGGGGGATACCGTTTGCTCCGTTTCCCGGCCCTTCGTTAAACTCTAAGGTGCTGTTTTAAGAAGACAATGACTCGCCCTTTTCTCAGCCCAGAATTCAAACGTGGACTGTAAAAAGGGCCGTAGTAAACTTAGAACCTGGCAGGTCTGGTTTGGGATTTGATCATTTCCATCCGAGTACTACAGCTGAGTTGACTTGTTTCTGCTGTTTGTTTTTTGAGACTGGATTTGTAATCAAAAAACCAGAATCTTTAACCTATTGGTTGCAAATTATACAGATAAAAGCAAATGCAGGCTATGCAGCTAGCAAGATGAAGTGCAATGAAGATCCATCTGGTGCAGGGGAGGACAGGAGCGTGCCGAGGCTGACACTGCAGTCCCTCGACAGGACTTCTGGGTCCTTAGCCCGAGGAAAACCTGTTCAGAAACATGACAGGGAGTTGAGGCTCGTACGCCAGGCCACCGAGAAGGCGGTGTTGTTCCTCAATGACCAAACAGAGCGAGCCATATGTATCGCACAAATTCTGTTTACGTTTCAAGGTATTTCTCTGAAGTTCTGCCTGATGAACAATGTGTGCTCTGTCTGGTGAGACCATGAGGCAAGGGGAGTCACTGGCTGGTACCACGGCCAAAGCGAGACTAGCCGTACTGGTAGGAATAACGTAGGGCCCACGTTAGTCCTGCAGATACACCGCGTTAGACCACCGCCTTATCTGACTACTGGCTTATCAGGAGATGCGTCCTGGTGATGACCCGCAGGTCTTTCCAGTGCATAGAGACAGGTACCCTCCTTCAGACATCTGACGTGGGGCTGCCAAAGCTTCAGGCAGACAGTCCAGCACTGCAGTGCCCTGGGGCTCCGCCGCGTGGGACGCAGGGGTGTGAAAGGTCTGCCGGCCTGGGTCAGGATGACGGAGCTGCACGACGGTGCAACTGTTCTTCAGTCCTGCTTCTTTATAAAAACCCTGTTCCACCGAGCTGCAGCAACTGACTCTGGGTTCTGAAAACCAGCTCCAGCTTCTGTAAAATCTTAAGACCATGACCGTGGTATGCTGCCTTCCAGAAGCTATGCGGAACCACCGAGGAGTTTGCCAAAGACTTGCCCCCAACGGCTGCCTGACTGTTCTTTGCAGCCAGAAAAATAACCAAAGTTCTCAAATGCTGCCATTTCACTCTGCAAACAGAAAGGCTTTGGAAGATCCCGCTCGCAAGCTGCGTAAGGGCTGGACCTGCTCTGAAAATTGGTATCTCTGTGTTTACAGCGTGTCTGCAATTGAACTGGACCTCCGTGGAACGCGTTCCTGAAGCTTTTATGGGAGAAATGGCGAACTGCCGAGCGAACTGCCTCTTTTTCACAGAGGTTCGATACTAATCAATGTGACTGACTCTTGTTCTGTACCTTTTCAGATTTATCTCAATAGATGGTGTCTGACAAGTCCAGCACATTACAATATCAGCAGAGAGAAAAAAGAAAAAAAAAAGTAACATCTCCATTCTTTTAGTTCATCACTTTCAGCCATGTATAATTATAGTTTAATTCAGAACTTTATTTTTTCATTAAAACTGTTTTAATGAACCATGTTTTTTTCTTAAATGTGAAACAAGTGAACAATGATTTTGTTTTATTCCAAACTCAGGAGTCTGCTGTTATGATTTACCGGTGTGTAAAGTGGTTGTGCCAGGTGGCAGCAAGACTTGACACTTCGAGTGCTCTTCCCTAAACGATACACAAAGTCAGGTACGGATAAGAAGTGCTGCAAACATATATTTCATGTGCTGACAGGTATCCCCACCTCTCTTTGTAGCAGTTGCTCCTTGCCCAGCCTCTGCTGTCAGTAAGGTAAATTGTGGTGGAGCCCTGTCGCTGGTACAGGGACGAGCACGGGGCAGGGTGGAGCGATGGGAGGCAGGCAATGCCTGCTGCTGCAGAAGCCCAGAGTGGCTGAAGGCAGCCAGGACACTGACAGGGACCCGCCGAAAGGCGTGAAGGCTGGCGCGAGCCTGCGGGGAGACGGCTTGGGTCAGGATGCTTACAGTATCGGCAGCGTGCAGTCCTAGCAGGGGGCCTTCGTGGAGAGCGCCTGAAAGGCAGGCTTAGTGTGTGGAAGCTGGGCGCGGGGCAGGGCAAATCACGCCAGGTGAGACTGCTGGTGACCCCATGCCTGTCCCACTTGCCTGAGAGCCAGGTCCCTGCGGGACCGGGCACTGCAGCCTCAGAAACAGACCTTGGGCTGTGCTGCAACTGCCTCACAAAGACTGGCCTGCTCAGCCAGACCCAAACCAAAACCCCTTTAAACCCTCTGGGAGCTGTGCTGAAGGAGAGCTCCTTCCCTCCCACCCCTGCCGCACTGCAGGGCAGGACTGAGGACCCCAAAGCACCAAAGGGATGCTGGTGCCTTGGTGCCACCCCTCAGCCACAACCTTGAAGGCACTGCTGCTCAGCCAGCTGCGTTCAAAGCAGCAGCCTTAACACCTTGGCAAACTTAAAAGATGGCTCAACTCTTTGGAAATGGCACTGGATCATATTAGAAGCTAAGCTCTGGTTGCTTATAGCTTCTATTTTAATTCTATTTGTAATTTTGTATTATATAGAGTGATAAAAAGAAGTCCCAGAGGAGTTGTAGCTGTAAAATGGCAGCTTCTCATGGCGCAGAAACAGTGGTGTTGAAAGTAGCGGTTTCTCAAGCGGGGCTATTCTTACAGTCTCTTTAAAACTTTGCACTGATAGAAAATAAGGAAGAGAGGAGGAGGAGATGGGCTGGAGTAAGTATTCAGCAGGAGAGACCGACCCAATACCTAGCTCCAAGGGAGGAGATGGACAGGACGGGCAGCGGACTCCACCATGTGGACACAATTCAGCAACTCTTGACAATGACAAACACTGCAGGGAAGCAAAAATGGAGCTCGCTCATTAACTACTGCAGAGAAGGACCTGCTGCAGCAGCCTCATGGATGGGGAAGGGCGCTTGCAGTACTTGAAAGGAGGGGAGAAGCATGAGTCCGAATCCTTGGTGGGCTGATCTGGCAGGAAAAAACAAGCTATATATTTTTCATGATGTTTAGCCAGGGAACAGGGCAAGGCCTGTGTCGGTATTAATCGTGAGGGATTTTACTTTAACGAGAGTCGCAAATTCAAATGTTCAAAGAAGTACAAAGTTAAGGTTCATCTTTCCCTTGCACAAACTTCCTTGCAATTAGAGAGAAAGATAATTCTGAGGTGCGGGGGGAAGGCAGGAGAACTGAGTCAGTTCTCTAATGAGAACACAGCTGTGATTAAGAGGAAAGCATCTGCTTGACTCCAAGCCCTGGCCAGGCGGCTGAGCTGTCTTCAGGTATGAACCTACTGGTTGAGTTGCACGGGAGGAGGTTTAGACCGTTTTTACAGCAGAACTGGTGCCTGGAGCTCTGGCTCCTTGTAGCCTTTCACTGGCTGGGCCACCCTGGGACACGGTTGTCAAAGACGAGAGCACGCGCAGGAAGACAAGGGAGGACTCTAAAAAGTAAATCCTAAACCTGTATCTCCACCTCAAGAAGTTCCAGTTTAAAGGCTCTGGCTGAAAAGACTAGCCTGTGTTCCCAGATCCTCATTAAGGTATTTTTAAGCATTTGCTGGGTCAATTAGAGACAGATGTGTCACCTCACGTTTTAAAGTTCGCACCCAAGGATGCTATCCTGTTACAGGTTTTAACTGCTGGAGTAGAAACAATGCACTCTGCCTCTCAGAAATGTTATTTTTCAAGTGTAGCAATACCACGGGACATCTTGAAGTATTGAAGCAGTTTTTAGAATCGCATCGCTATTTCTCTACACTTTAATGTAGACAATAGGCAAGAAAACACTTCCATGACAGCAGAAACTATCTCAGGAAATTGTCAGAGATGAGGAGAATTGTTTTATTGTGCAATTTTTTTTCCACGAAAACACTCCTTGGTGTCATTGCTCTGCTGGATACAGGGCTATGCTAAGATTCTTCTTTGTAATGAGCAGTAAATGTGTTGTCACTATTTTGCACTCGCTTATGCAAAACTTAATTCTCAGTACTCCTCCTAGGAGTATTCTTCCACATCCTAGTCGCTACAGACTGGCTCTCACTCTTGACCATACACTTCATGCAGTGACAAGACATGAAAAAGGAATTTCTGGTGGAGATTTCTGCCCAGTTCAACTAGTTACAGACACAAGCAATCAAAAGAGGTCAATAAGCAGGATGTGACAGACGTTGCAGTTACATTTACAAAACTTGCGACCCTTGCTATTCAGGAGTTTATTTGCAAGAGTGTCCTACAGATGCAAAGGGAACATGGGCTGCTTTTCAGCTGAATATAATTTATTGCACATTTTACATTTAATTTCAGATCAACAGAACACTGGTTGTAAGTGAAGTAAAATCCTGCACCAGGAGCTGGTCACAACTGAAGAGTTTTGTTTTTAATAAAAATAAGCAAACACCCCTTAATTGTATGAACTTGGTTTTTTAGAGGGGATGGAGCATCTCTTTCAGACTGGCTCAAATAAGTCTGCTTTTGGAAATCTAATTCTCCTGTTACAATGACTTGAGCAAAGAGAACCACAGTTGCACAGAAAAAGGGGCCAGGTACGTGTCAGGAAATGATTTACGGTACTTGTTGTCAAGCAACAATGCACTGCCAAGATAGGTTCTTTTTTCCCCCCCTCTGTCTCTCACATGTAAGCAACGAAGGCTGTTCTAGGACTCACCAAGAGCAGAACTGTGACTGAGAAACAGCCATGATTATTCCTTTTCTCTAAGAAAAAGCCTGGGTAGTGTTGACGTATGCAGTGCATAGTAGATACTGTAAGGCTGCCGTTTCCATCTGCTGTGTCACTAGAACTGCCCTTTCTGCTGGTAAATCACTGGCATGGCTTCTATGCAAGATTAATCCAATGGATTTATGTCATAACTGATGCTTTTTAGAAAGGGCAGCTGAATTTCACATTTTCAGCTCTTCACCCGTTTGGCATCTCTCCTCACTTTGGTCTGGTTTACTTGTATAAACTACGTTCCTCTTTTTCCTAGAAATAAATTAGATGGGAAGAGATAGTTGCAGCATCAGAATCAAATGCAATTAATTGCTGTCCTTCTCCCCCACTTGCTTTCCTCTTTTCTTGAAAACCTTGATAGTACATGGTTCTAGGTGGCAGAAGAATTAATAAGACTATTATACCCCATGTCCTTGTCTGGAATAGCAGTGTTTGAAATGAACAGCTGGATGGATTCATGCTGAAGAGGTCCATGTTACTACAAAAGGCAAAGAACTTCATTTCAAACATACTTGTTCTTAACAAGTACGTTTCAAATACAGATTTGAGACGGAAAACAATCTCTGTCCTCTTTCCAACAAAAGGATTTACACAGAGGCCTTACAGGAAGTGGCCAAAGAACTTAACTTCCCCTCAGGAGCAGAAGAAGGTATGTTACCTACCCCTGGAAGTATGTGGAGAAGTGAGAGCAACAGGTCTTCTTCCCTGCTCAGTGCAAGAAGATATATGTGAGACCGCACAAACGGACTGTGGCCAAATCGCAGCAGGAAAGACACGGCTGCATGACGGGTGGTGCTCAGTGCCCGCTCACACAACCTCAGCAGAAAGCACTGCGCGTTCAGAGTCACGTTGCTTTATTGGTTACTGAGCCACAATTCAGAGAAGTATTGCCTTGGAGCCACCTGTAGAAGCAGGTTCTCTCATTTTGTCTCCTAAGATAACTGGTAGGACACCACCTGCTATATGGATAGTAAAAATAAAAATGTCTCTGTTCAAACTTGCAGCGTCCAGGGGAAGGTTTTGCAGTTTCTGTTGACCCAGGTACCGTAACAGACGCGCACACTCTCACCAGGTTAGCCATCTGCATCGATTCTGTGAGCTGTTGGATGAGAACAATAAATAGATACACGCCACTTCTGTCGGACAAGACACATCCTAGCTTGAAATTACCACTGTACCAGGGAGAGAGAGGAACATTTCTGGCTGCTAATTGAACACAATTCATGTACACCTCCAATGTACTTATGGAAGCTTTGTAAGTTGGATATGCCTCTTAAATTGGGCCAGGGAGCTGGTCTAGAGTAAACACGAGGTTTGCACCCTTTAGCCAACTCCCCAGATGGACAGGGGTACCAGTAAAACTTGTCACTAGCAGATACCGGTTTCACAAAATTATTCTGGCAGAGAAAATGTTTTGGCAGATAGATAAATGGGGATGAGGAAGAAATCTGGCTCAGACCTCCACCTTGCCTTCATATGTTCAAATTCAGTCCTTAAAAGTCAATCCAATGCTGTGAATTGCCCGGCAGGGACACCAGCAGCTGTAGGAGGCCTCTGCTTCTAACTCCAGTTAGATATATAAGGTTAGATGGTATAAACAGCTGCAGTGGTGCTGGTGAGCTCTTTTAGGTCACGCTCCAGAGGCATATCATGGTCAGTCCATTTCAGTAACCCCAGTTCTGAACCCCAGAACCCCAGTTCTGTGTGCTTCGCCACACAGAGCTGAAGCAATCCTTTACTGGTTCCTGAAGGAAGAAGCAGGGCGGTCCTTGCTACTTACATTGCTTTGGTATCCTAAGGGCCTCATTGTCAGCTGACATCACTTGGTGCAGAACTCCTCGGAACTGATAAAGCACTTTCAAACTCTTCTCCTCACCCACGCAGGGGTCGTAGAAACCCGGCAGGCCAGCCTTGAACCAGAGAAGGACAGACTGAGCATCAGGGAATGGACTTTCACAGCTCTTCAACTGACCAAAAACATTTATTAATGCCAGAACGAGCTGTCATTAAAAAACAGAAAGGAGTTTTGTTGCCAATGAGATGAGACGAGAAGCTAAGGAATCGCCTACCCAGTGGCAAGTTCTAAATGCAGAAAAGAGCGAATCAGGGGGGTGGGAAGTTTCTGGTGTACAGCCCCAAAGTCTGTAACACGTGCTGTCCCACACTGCAAACACGGAGACACTGTTTCTTTGGCACTGGAAATGTCCAGAGAAACAGAAGTTCCTGGAGGTTCATAACACTTGGTATGTAAATGGCTTCTGTAAATTGATCTAGAGTCACTAGCTTCAAGTGCACTGGAGAAATCCCCAGCTAGGACAGCATACATTCAATCGAAATTCTGAGTCACATATTTGAGCTCTTAAGTCTGGGCTTTGACAGAACAGCTACGTACCTTGGATGCCTCTGTAAGGATGAGTTTAGAGTCTTTCACCAAGCACTGCAGGGGCACAGTCACATCTATTACTTTCACCTTCTCATTCTTCCTGCTGTTGTCATTAACAAACTTCCCATACCAGGCGTTCACTACAATCAAACCTGCATTTCACATGAAATCACAGATGTGATGAAAGGCTTCCCACCGACAGCTAGGCAGACACTGATGAAAAGACCATCCCGGCGTCTTCTCTTGCTTTCAATTGTATTTAAATTTTCCCTGCCTGGACCCATACTTCTCAAGAGAGAAGAACATTTCTACTTGGGTGTTTGTTAGCAATCTTCAGCACTAGGACAGAATGACATGACTTCAGTGCCACACTGATGTGACAGTCCAAGTGGATGTCAGTCCACTTTGGAACATTCTCTTGGAAATTGCTAGCAAACATCAGAATTCTGATTTTCATTATGATCCAGGAGCAAACCGTGTAAGCTAGAGATCAGTGAAACCTAAACTTCAGACTACAATTTTTGCACATATTTATACACACACCTCTCTTTTGTAAAGAGGTGAATCCAGACTATTGTCTTCACCCTGTTTGATCCACCTCACAGCATGTCCCAAGATAACATCCAGTGGATCCCTACTAAGCCCAGGCACCAGAAGCCGAATCATAATGGAACTTCCCCACTATATGTGCAACAGCAGTTACGCTGTGCTTCATTAGGGGTGGAAATGAAGAAACAATACCTTGCATTTCTCCCCCTCAACCACCCAGCCTTTGTATTGTTCCTTCCTCTCTCCAATTTTATGGAACAAGTAAATGGTGGTGTAATCTTTACCCATTCTGGCTTCCTCTGCTTCAATTATCCTCTGGACAGACTCTTGCATTAACCGGACCTGTCACAACACAAGGGGCAGAGCAAAAATCAAGCAGTGTCAGACACTGTGTCCAAAAGAGGAAAGCCCAGAGTGGAAACAGCTTCCTTTAACTAAGGGGGATTAGTTACGGGAAAGACTTACCGCAGCTTCAGCCTCCTGCTTCTTCCGAAGGATGTCGCTGGCTGTACTCTCCCTTTGCTTCTCCAGCTCTCTGGCATAAGGAAGTCAGCATCACATCAGGTCTACACAGCGGATGGGATTCAGCCACAAAGTGGCAGATGTCTACTTACCCCCCCCAATTACAAATGACCCACAACCTCACACAAATGAGCTCGGTTTTAAGGTTCTTCCCCACCTTTCAATATATTTTTGTAGGCTTCCAGAATTCAGTAGTATTGATGATGTAGTGAACCACAGTGCCTCAGCTGGATATCCCAGCCTTTGCACCAGGCTCCCAGAAGCACTTGAGTGGGACTTCCCAGCTCTGAATTTAAAACACAGTCTTGCGAGCTCACCTCTCCTTTTGTGCCCTGAGGTAGGGTTTGATGATAAGCCTATGCATGGCGAAGTAGATAACTAGAGGTCCCACAGTGGCATAGAATACAGCACTGGGAAGCAGCTGATCTGTTAGGTGGACAGGGAAGAAGTAGGTCTGGCTAGCCCTATTCAACCTGGAACAAAAAAAGAACAGAGTGACAGGTAAGAAGAAACGCAGTTTAATGTGCTTGATTAAGAACACTTAGCAGCAGCATATGCTGCTGAACAACTGCTGAACCAAAGGAGAGATGAATGATGAGCTCAAAAACGTGAAAATCTGATAAACCGAAACAAGACAACAGTAAGACAGACAGCTGAGAGCCCAGACTTTTATGTAGCAGACACCTTTTGTGATAGTACCTGGCCATTCTAAAGTGGTTTTTTAATCTTAGGAGAATTTATTTGGTCATTAATTTCACCAAGGAAAGGGACCAACATCATCATCAAGAGAAAAGAAAATACTTATAGAGAAGTTCTGTGTTCACAACACCGGCACGTGCCTTCAAGGAAGGAGTACATTAATATTTTTCTGATGCTTATAGTAATATTTATTCTAGAAAACAAATGTTTTCTTGGGATGGAGGTCTTCACGTCTTTACAGTTTCTGCATCCTGGCACGCCCTCTGCTGGCACCAATGCAAAGTGCACTACAGTATATGAACCCTGAAAGGGTTCTGTCCCTCTTTGTGAACTGCATCTTATTAATAATATCATCACCTGTATTAGTTAACGATAATTCACTAATTCAAGTATATACCTGTGTACAGGGTTATAAAAACGGAATGCAATTAAATCCATTTCTACTAATAATATTTTCGGAAATCTTCCATCCACTTACCATAATGCTCCAAACCTTACTTTAAGCTGTATTTTCAGAATATTTTGATGCACACACAGACTAGTCCTGAAAGACGTGGCTCATGCTCAGAGTAACACTGGCAGAAGGCACACACCGCTTCCAATGGGCACCACTAGTATTAGAGGTGAGGGCAGCTGCAACCTTTCATAGTGATATATCAATATACCTGTATTGCCCTAAGACTGGGACCTTCCCACCTGAATACTGGAAATAGAATAATACAGGTTCTGGTCAGCCTCTGCAATCTAGAGTTGTAATCTTGAACTGACTTGATTTTCAGAGACACTCCTTGGGGAACACCAACACTGACGGTGGCTCCTAAAATGCTGTGCCTGGAAATCTTCCTCTCTGCTCCATACTCCACTATGGTCCCAAAGAAACCCGCCCTAGAACGACAGAACCAAAAACTGGTAAGACAGGGAAGACTCTTGAATTTCTCTTTACTGAATCCTGTAATTCCCCAACAAGTAAAACATGGAAATACATCTGTGTGCAGCTGATGTTGGCCACTGGAAGATTGACGGTGTATCTACAAGGTGAGATTAGCCTTTTCAGCTTGTAAAGTAGTAAACAGACCACAAGAACTTCTGGCTTTCTTATTGGTGATGATATAGAGATATCACACACAAGTATTTTAAGTTCCACTTATCTGAAGAGGCACACAGAGCTAAGCCTCCAAGACATTCACTTCAGCATTTACCAGATTTAATTAATGAAAAGCAGATTCCAAAAGACCACAGAAGCATTTGATTTGCGTGGAACCTGGAGGCCTACAACAGCAGGAGAGGAGAGATTCTTCAGGCTGTGAGCAATACGAATTTCCTCTTGCACACTTACTTGAGAGAACCTTTCACTCGTGTTTGATCCTCATCCTGAAACTTATGCTGATAACTGACCATCATGAAAGAATGGGGGATTCCCAGCTGAAATACAAGAGGCACAAATGTATGAAAACGTACCCTCAGCCACCACTCAATGTTCTCCCAAATTTCCTTTCTTATCCTTTAAGTGGCACGGAAAACATAGCAATGCTTGCCACTTACTTGTCACAGCCTGGAATATCTGCAGTCTGTGTTGTGCATCCTGATCCTAATCTGAGCTGATCTACATCAGATATGACAATGTTGGGTGCAAAGTGTTGTGCTCTGCCAAATGCAGCTGGTTACCTACGTTACATGTTTGTACGAGATGGTATCAACTGCTCCGTTATCCTCTAGTCCCAAGCCAAAATACTACTGGGACGGAAAAGCTGAGGCACTTCTCTCCCATGGGGTGGTATCACTGTCCCCTGCGTACAGCAACAGGACTCTCACCTGTAATGCCACAGTGAAATGGCTGGTTTTTGTATCCCGGACAATACTAGTGTTCATGGCTGACTGGATGCCCCACCGCCACTGTAAGTACCCCATCGTGTTCTTGTCGAGGTTGCGGGCTAGGACCGTGGTGAGGCCTGGGCGGATCCCACGGGACGAAAACTGCAGGGCACAGTTTGTAGTGATGAAACTAGGAGAAATAAGGAAAGCCTCATCAGTGATAAAACACAGGCTCCCAGATGGCCTCAAATTCCTTCTTTCCCAGGAGCCTTGCGGAATATGCAGAGACTATCCTGCAAAGAGCATGATGCCTGAGGGTTTCAGGAAAAACTCAAAACTAATTTAGACTGTACTGACCACAGCACTGCCCAGAAGAGCAGGGTCATGCCCTAATTTATTGGTCTGTGCCACAACACTGCAGACAACGCAGCAGGCTACCTTTCAGCCTTTGCCCTTCTTGCCCTAGGCAGATAAAGTCCTGGTCTTCTGTAGAGGCAGCACACTTGGCTGCTAGAAGGTAGCAGCCCTGCTATTTAATAATCCTCACGCATCAGCTCCAAAAAACAGCATTAAAGGACTCTACAGGGAACAAGATCCCTGTATAAGCTCTGAGGAATGGCATATTTACTAAATTAGAAAATACAAAAAGAAGGAAGTCTACACGTGCACCTACAATGCTCTAACGTACGCCCTCAATCACAACCCTTACCTTGAACTCTCCTTTGCAACTTGAGACCTCTATTTATTTTTAAACAGACACCACACTAGTGGCAAATTTGGCATTATTTCCCTAAAATATGACATATCATCTCCTCTTTTGCTGTCAGAAACTCTGTCTCACACATGGAAACCCCAGAAGATCTCCCCAATTTTTTGTTCTGTTCCCAGAGCAAACTTCTGTTGCTCTGATTGTGAGATCACGCCTCAAGTATCACAAATTCATGAGAAGATCAAATACAAATCTAAGGATGTGGAACACAGACCTTTCTTAAACTGGAAGTATGAAAATGAAGGATATCAACATACAAAAAGAATACATACATTTTGATCAGTACTAAAGCACGACCTTAAGTCTAAAGAAGAAATACCTTATTTTGTAGGATAGAAAACAAATCCAGAATTAACATGGAAGAGAATTCAAGCCGTTTAGTTCCTTAATGTGGAATATTAACCACTAGACCATTTTTCTAATATTTACCATCTTGGTGTAAGATTACGGAATATCTTCAGACCGAAGAGAGGTCCCTGAAGGTCTCCTGCTCCAAACTCCAACTGTTTAAATGCACGATGCCAAATTGTTAGAAGAAAACACCTTTTACAACAGTGACAAAACACTTCACAAGCATCATTTACATCACAGACATTTTGCACATCTGAGTAACATTTACCACGTATTTCAGCATCCTCTCTTTTCTGCTAGTTTTGCATTCAGAATAAGAGGTGTCTCACTGAGCAGGGTCCTCATGAGTAAAACAAAGCCAGTTTCGTAGTGCTACAGGCTACTACTACTAGCGCCTGCTCTGGTTGCTCCAGTGAAAATGGAGAAAACATCTCCATCACAGCCCCACAATGGCAAACAGCAGGGCCTGGCTGCAGCCCTCTGAGGATAAGAGTCCTTCTCAGGACAGCCTCACAGTAATGTTGTCAGCAGTTCTGCTGCTGCACCGTCTCAGCATCTGCAAAACGCGCCTGCTGCTTCATCCATTAGTCTGGGTGACCTCCAGGGCTGCTATTCAATGTTCATTTGGTGCTGTTCAGTCTCATTATTGGAAGCAGTTCTTAGACTTGACACTTTTCATGACAAAACCTGCAAAAGCAGTTCCTACTACATCTGCATCTCCCAAGTAAGTTTATTACATGGTTTTTTTAAAAGTCTTTTAGTCAACTGACTCATGACAATATCCGCAAGCTCCTGTATTACCAATATTACAAAATCCTGATGCAAATCAAATGCCTCCAGTCTATGAATTCTCAAACGAGAGGAAAACTCCCATTTCTCACAAGCTGAGGAAACAGGTTAGCAGTAGCCAGTGTGCAAAAAGGAAGGCGCAGAAAGCAGCCACCTGCCAGCCATAGCAGCGATGCCACGAGCATCTCAAACAAAGCCACTGGTCTAGCGAGGCACAGCTTTCAGGTGGTAACATGAGACCTTCCAGCTACTTAGATCATACCTGCCTGGGGGTCAAACTATTTTCCCCCATAACTTCTTCCTTTGTGAGCAGAGCAGTTTTTGAAGCGAAGGCAAACTATCATGCTGCCTTAAGGTGCATGCTCACAGCCTCCGGAAGGCACCTGGGAGGCTTCAGACAGTGAAATTAGAAAGGCCCTGGAGACAACAGGTAACAATTCTGTCAGCATAAGTGAAGTCCAAAATGCACAGCCAAATGGAAACGGGAAACAATTAAGAAAAAACAAGGTTTGGCCATCCCTTTTTCTCAAATTCCTTTGAGAATTCCTTTTTCTACATTCTACAGAATGTAGAAAATGAGAGATGAAACAGAGCTAAAGTTCCCTAAAGAAAATAAACACTAGGTAACTAATCCAAGCAGGCTGAAATAGACTGGATATAAAAAATGTGTAACAGCTAGTACTCTTACCTCTCCCCATCCCTTGGCAGAAGTCACTCGTCTCAGAGCAAGATTAATCGATCCACCTCCATTCCCATTCTGGGTGGAAAGGTTACCAGACAGTATTGCTGTGTCCGTGGCAGTCAGTGGTGCCTGAAAAATGAATATATTTTTACCAATTACTCTGATCCCAATTCACACATTTAACACATGTTCTTCAAGGACATAATCATGACCTGCAGAGACTGTAAGCACAGAGAGACAGGTAACACTCCAGTTGACTCCTTGTCATCCACTAAGCCCAGGTGTTTGAACCAGATATGGCCACACTTGCTCTAAATTTTGTAGTCAAAGATCAAGTATGGCAAAAAATGAGATAATTCTTACAGTACCAGACATTTGTGACACTTGCAAACCCTTCTAATCTCACTAGCAGACTAAATTTCTTCAACTCTCTGGAACAGAGGAAACACTCCCCCTTCTTTTCTTTACCCACATCCTCAAAACTGGGCGCCATTCGTTTTCATACACTACTCCATGTTCAGTGAGAACTAGACACCTGTTTTCAATCACGATTGAGCCTCCCCACTAGCAGGAAGGCAGGACCACTGTAGCCTACAAACCAGTCGCACAAACGCATGCTGTACAGTCAACACGCAGTCCTGCTGGAACTGAGCTTCCTCTTCCCGCCCACGCTGGTAATCGCATCCTTCCATAAATCGAGATGAGAGCCCCCTGAGCAGTGTTTCATTTTCCATTGCTTTGCACTGTAGTGCCTCATTAGCTCAGGCCCTGCTCCACACCAGCAGCAGTGTCTGCCTTCCTTACCTCAATGGACTGGGATATGTGCATTTTGTTTATCTCAATCTGGGGAAAGCTGCTCCCAGGCACATCTTCGTATTCTTCGTCGTAACGATCAAAGAGGTCAGTGGCATCTATTCCAACACTAATAGTTCCCTAAGGAATGACAAGTGAAACAAGTACTTAGCATTAACAGACATCCAACATATAGAGGCCAAATGGCTAAACCATTCTTGTATATGATTACATTTTTTTGCAGTTTTTTCTTGTTCTGCAATTACCTTTTCCACTCTAAAATGCATTTCTCACACATTCAAGACAAACAAAAATGAATTATTACAATATGCTAAAACAACAATACAAATCATAAAATAAACTGGATAAAAGACAGTTTTTCAGCAGAAGTGCAACTCGCAATACTAGTAGGTAATTTTTCTATTGTGACACATTACAGAATGTGTCACAATAGAATGTGTCAATTCTACACAGGTAGAACACTTTTACACAGCAGGTTTCTTCTTCCCCCGCAACTGATTCTGCTCTGTCAGTACTTTAAAGTTGAAATAACATATTTTAGAAATTGATTTTCTTCAATGGAACTTTGCCGGAAATCCTCTAAATGCTTTCTTCTTATGAGTTATCTGAAACAACTTAGTTTTGAGCTGCATCATTCACTTGCAATTAACCTTGTTAGTCAAAAATTTGGGGTTTTTTTCCTAGTTTATATCTTGTAATCAGAAGAAAAGCTTGACAAAGATAGACTTTTAGCAAGTGGTAAATATTTCCTTTCTCAGACCACAGAAAAACTTATTCCTACAAAAAACTAGGCCACAGCTAAATAGTCTGGCTACCTGCTGCTGTGCTCACTCAGACTAACTACAAGAGTGGGTTTATTTGAAACGGGCACGATTAGATCCTTGTCTGGGTCATATAACTTCAAGAGGCTTTGGAAACCTTCCCTATAGACCTATTAAACAGCATTCCAGCTCATATAAAATGTACCAGTTGCAATAAAAAAAAACCCCAAACCCCCCTGTGCACAAGCACAGAATGAACTCTGAGCAATTTGTATAAAGAAACTCAATAGCTAGGTAGGTGCAAAAACCACTCACACAGAGTCCAAGTACGGATGGAATAAATTCCTATTTCAATCTGAGTGAGCATTTTTCCTTGCTCACTCCACTCTAATCAAATGCTGAACCATAAATATAGGAAGACTTGCAGAGTTTGACAGGACTCAAAACTTCTCTCTGGTTTGCCTCCCAACTATTTATTTGCTGTGGAGATTCCCAACCTCTTCTCAATATTTATTTTCTGATTTCTTACGCAGCAAAAACTGGATAAATATTTTAACTCAGGAAGGTGCAATTATTTCCAGGAGAACTCTGGAACAGGGGCTGTGCCCCAACTGTTTACAAATTACTCTTGGCAGGCCGGTGAATTTCAAAGCAATTACGCTCATCGTTCTGTTTGTGGCAGCACCAATAATGAGCTCCCGACCTTTATGCGGAAGACTACTTTTCAGGAACCATCTGCAAAGTCACCTTCAAGGGATCTCCTCTCCAGACGCTACAGCTTCTTCAGTTTCAGCCCTCTCCTATGTTGTGCTGTTCCTTGAAACAAGGCCAAAATAAGAGTGAAGCAAGGCAAAACCGCCAACTGCCTAGGAAGCAGCGCAGCACTGCGCTGCTGCTCCAGCCCTCTGGAAAGACACGGAGTAGAACAGCCAAAGGGAAACAGAAAGTGCCAACTCCACTCAATGAAATTCCAGCAAATGCACTCCAGAGTGGCCGATCAAACATGTCTAAATACAGGTGAGCATTTATTTTAACAAAAGAGAGAACTATTTCCATTTTTCCCTGATGCTCTTCAATTCAAGGAAGCGTAAAACCCAAGATCTTTCATAACAGAGGCAGGATGGAAAGAAGGGTTTTCCATGTGGACCGCCACATTCAGCGCAGAACCTTTGCCAGACTGCAACTTTAAATTCCAAGTTAAACATTTTTAAACAAGGGATATCATGCTGAGTAGTAAGCATGCTGAATTTGAATGGCAAAAAGACAGAAAATTGCATTTTTTCAACTCAGACCAGAATATAAGCAGCAGTAAAGCTTTCTCAAGAACTTGCACTAAAAAAAACCCACTGAAAAACATCTTACTATACTATCTTTATTCATTCTGCAATGCTTGTACTCTTTGTAAAGATGCACCAAGGTCCACACCCATTCCTGAAATTCATTGCACCTTCTTTCTTTCAATCATACTCAAAACCTTATGATTTCCTTTTTCACACCTATGAATTTTAGAACAAATATCCCTCCCAATGAAAAAAGGAAAACACCTGAACCTATCCATGAAAATCCACAAGACCCATTCAGAGGAAAGGAGCATCTCCGTTCCCTCCCCACCTTCTCAGCAGTTCTTCTATTTAGCTGCCTTTCGCTGAAGCGAGCGGTAGACTCCGTGCAGACATTGCACCTCCCGCCAAGCAGGTGAAGTCACCCTCAGAGGTCTATAGATCCTGGCAAGGAAACTGGCTCAGGCGCAAGCACAGGAAAAGCAGCAGATGGTAAAGTTAAAAATATTCCCAGAGAACGACAGCACCCCCTATGCCACCGGATAATACGAGAGGGACCGCTTCTGCTCACAACTCCCCATCAGCCACCTGCTCAGACCATTGGAAATGAAAAAGCCCTCCCCAAAGAAAGAGCAGCAGGGAAAAGCTGTAAAGCTCTGCTCAGAAGTCGGTGGTGCACGCATGCAACAGGCTGCAAAGCGCACCAGCTCAGCAGGGCAGGAAGCCGGGGAGCGGCACTACAGAACCATCAGAGTTGTTATCTGGTATCATCTTTTAAAATGACCTTTATTTGCCATCCTGCGAATACGAAACAGACTTTACTGATGGAATTAAGAGGTGCGCCAGAGAAGAATATACTCCCTCCTCGCCTTTTTTCTTAGGGATATACCTTCTGGAAGGTGACATATGGAAGCTGTGCAAGACTAAGCCTTGAGGGACCTGCAGTTCTTAGATGTTGACCTTCCGCAGCAGGAAAATAACGGGGTTTAATTTCTCCTAACAGGAAGCAGTTCTTCTCAAATCAAGTAATGAACTTTTCAACCCTTCTGCACATATTTGAAAGCAGAAACAAAGCTCTAAAAGCAAATAATAGACTCAATTCGAAACCTGCCAAATTGCCTACATCTGGTTATTGCTCAACATTTCTGGTTAAAATGCTTTATTTTGCTGGAACCGTTTTATAGAACTGACAAAATGTTGGAAATTCTAAAATAACTTGCGTTCATGTATGAAATGATCACAGCTGTGCTACCTAATTCCACGGGAACACTGCCTGGAGAGACATTTCTATGGGCTGCCAATCAGCAATTGCTGTAAACACCCAGATGGCTAATTTTATCACAGGACACAGAGGCTGAGGCTTACAACGCAGCTCCGCTTTTTACTGCTCACAGCCACGGCGAGGCGCCCAGATAAAATGTCAAATTCCTAAAGTCACAGAGAAGCATGAGGTGGAGATAACCATGCCCCTCTCTGAGAATACCCTTCTGACCCCAGTCACTCTCATCTCCAGCAGAGACAGTTCGACTTGCCCGTTTTGTGGCACCCAGAAATCCCTTCCTGCCTGCAATAATGTTGTCAGCAGATATTCACATAACACCTTACGCTTATTTACCCTTCCAGTACAAACAAGTTCTTAGTATCTGTGCACTATCCACAACAGCCTGGTGATCTGTATTAGTCGATTTGCTTTGCTAAGACCAGTGCAGATCCAAAGTCTGTGCCGAGGTGAATATCTCAAAACATCTCAGATGTACATTTTTCCGATACAGTTCTAAGCATTACTGTACTCACACTTCTGTCCACTCAGAAAACACTGTGATTTTAAACTGCTGACCATGAAAACACCAGCAACCTTCAAAAACAACAGTAATAGTAGTTAATCAACTGGTAGTTTGTTTCTTGGGTTATGCAAGTTATGCTGCAACACTTTAGGAGCCCATGCGTGAACACCACGACACAGGAGACCTCCTCTTTCAAAGCCACCAAAAGAGTACAGCCACCTGTGCTTCAGGATGCAGAATCTGTGTTGACTGCAAGCCTCCAGCGAGAGCTCTAGGGATACCCAGTTTTCCACCAAGAATAGAAGTATTTATAAATAAAACAAAAACTGATGTCTCATAAAAGTTTATTTATTCAAGACGGAGAAAGTTTGTCTACACAGATATCTGCACGGTTACCTTGGGGTAGACAGCGGAAAATTAAGGCTTCCCTACCATGGACCACTTCTATACTGCACAGAAGAAATGGATTTCCAACACATTTCAAAAAATAGGTACAAAATGGTTTCTGATAGCTTAAGCAAAAAAACTCAAGAAAAATACAGATACAGGTAAACTAAAGTATCAACACATTTGGTGAGTGTAGATGCAGCTCTTGGATAATGTTATTCATTGCATGAGAACCAAGATTTTTGTGATTCAACAAGCTTTGAAACCTCAGTCAGTGACAATCCTGACAAAACCTGGGTTTGCCTAGCGTACTTATCAAGCCAAGAGCCAGCAAAGCCATTAGCATTCTAAACTATCAGAGTATTCCAGTCACAGCAGGTGACAGAGGAAGCAGCGGTCGATCGTTATTTCCACCTCTCCCTGCCATCCCAGCACTACCATAAGAACATCATCCTCAACATGGTATTCTTGATCATCTCTGAAAAGCCAAGATTCAGCTGCGAGGTGGGTCATTTAGTTTATGGCTGCTCAAACAGACTGAGAGATGGGAATGGAATACTCAATGATTCTCATCCTGAGAGTGCGATCAAGCTTTCCTAAAACAGGCACTAACTGTGAAACTGGCAAGACCCCAATCCTGTTCAGGTCGATTTTGCTCACTGTGCTGCAGCCAGAAGAGTTCTGCTACCCAGCTGGTTTGGTAGCTGCCTCGCATTTTTCACTGGTTTCAAAGCTGCTTTTGAATATCTCCCTGCATTGTTGTGACACTACAGCAGTGTCGAAGGGAAAACGTGTCAGGTAACTGCAGGGAGTTTCATTTTATTTTGAATACTTAGAAAGAAATCATAAACATTTGTGTTAGGTCTGTTTTCTTGAAATTGCTGAAAGAGATATTTTGCTCCTACATGTTTCAATGAAAAAAAGAACTTTCAATAGAGGATTACTGTTCAAAGAATTAGCTGTTTTCCCTACATTGTCCAGAGAAACTGCGTATTCAAAAAAGGAAAAGTAACTCACTAAGTGTAGATACCTAAGGGGTTATTTACTGTAGCCCCTCATCTAGGCTCATCACACGTTGCATATTTGTAATAATTCACGGATTCACTCTTGAGACTAGGATGAAGTCTTTGTTTACCTTTGGATTAGTTCGCTGCTGCAGTCTTCTCTCCTCCCTCTCTCTCTGCAAACGCTCAAATTCTTCCCTGATTTCAGCTGGAGTTCTCTTCCTTTCCACAACCTGCTCACAGAGAAATTAAAAACAAAAGATTACCAGAAAGAGGATGTTCAGGGTATTGCATTGCTGATGGGATGGAGATCCACTGACCTGGTACGCTCTAACACGCTGCCCCTGCTGCTGCTGTAAGCCACTCTGCACGAATTTCAATACTCAGAGTTTGGAAGCAAACACCTGGGCCAGATCAAATGGCAGGCATGAGAGAAAACCCCATGCTTTGAGAGAAGGGAAAACGCTCTTGTTATTTCTATTCCCTTGACAAAACCAGGGCAAATAGCTTTCAAACCACAAGTACAAGATACGGCAGCGCAGCTGTTACCAACAGCTATACATTAACTTCTCTACTAGGTGTAGACACAAAAATGAGAACGACTGAAAGTTTCTGGCCTGAGGTAAACTGATTAAGTGAGAGCTTTGTGATTTTAGACTATGCTGATTCACATCTGCTTACTTTACATGGCTCAGAGAATGAGGGTTTTAAACAGGTATGGCTCAAGGTATGGATAGAAAGAGTATTGGATTTGGCTTTTCAAAATAAGATCAAGTCTGCCACAAGCAGCTCAAAAATGTCTGTTACACACTGCCACTGCTCCACTTTTCTTGCTACTAACTCCAAACTTGACCTTGGTACTGACCTGACCCAATACAATACGATTCTGCAGCAAGCAGTGTAGTGCAATCAACTAAGACTGGCAGAGGCTAGCAAGGGGACTTAACGACAGCAAAGCCAGGAATGGACAAGTTCTTTTTCAAAGCCCAAAAAACCAAACCAACAACAAAAAACCAAACCCCCCAAAAGCACAGAAAGAAAAAGTAATTTCAAACTCAGAGGCTAGCTGATGCTGAAAAAAAAGTTTCAGATGAAAAAGATAAGACTAGATGGGCAATAACAACGCATTTGTCTCAGGCAAAGATGTTGCCTGTCACGGTAATATCCTATTAGGGAACTCTGAATGTCAGGTTTATTGTTCTCTTCTCAAGTGAAAAACCTAAGTATTCTTTGAAAATCCATCATGGTGTTTCAGCAGAGAGAGACAGAAATAACTAAACAAGGATGCCTTCAAAAAAACAGGCATTTATCACCATCAAGGTGTCAGTGCAGCTCGATTAAACAAGAATGTCAGATAAAGGTGGGTTTAGCCAATTCCACTGGCCATAAGGTGCTAAATTTCTCACCTCCCATCCTTCCATTTCCAGTCCTCTCCTCCCATATATGTCATAGATGGCTCTGGTCTGTGGATCACTAAGCACTGCAAGTTAAAATCAAAAAAGGGGAGAACTCAGTTTTTGGTCTTCTCCTCAAATTTCAGACCAACACACTAGTGTTATTTGCAATTCAGGCACAGATCCTGGAAAGATGTTGTTTTACAGTTGCATCCATTTTTTACATTAACTGCCTTTAACCTTTTCACATGCTATATTAACAGGACACACTGACTTTTCCCCCCCAACAAATTCCTTTTTTTTTTTTTTTTCTTTTTTTAAACATGGGTTTCACAGTCCCATCCGGAGCTGGAGGTTTTTTTCCATAACATTTGCTGTCCCAGGGCCACTCACGGGAGAAAATGATTTTTTTTAT